GCGTCGGGCGGGCCGGGGCGGCGGGGACGCGGCGCGCCGGAGCCGGCCGGCCCGCCCGCTTACCGGAGAGCTTGAAGGGCTGCCCGTCGCCGCCGACGCCGCAGCCGGAGGGGATGAGCGGGGCCGGGTTGACCACGGAGGCGGCGCAGGAGCCGTTCAGTAATCCGTCGATGGAGAAGGGCACCGAGGCGGCGGCGGCGGCGGCAGCGGCCGACTGCAGCTGGTGCCCGGCCAGCTCGTAGACGTGCGGGTGGCCCAGCGGGTACGGGAAGCCCACCATGCCTCCGAACTGGGCGTGCGGGTGCTCGGGGAGGCGGCTGTCCATCATGGGGGGGGCGGCGGCGCGCGCCTCTCAGCGCCGCCACCGCCGCCGGAGGAGCGCCGCCGCGGAGGTGCCCGCAGCCGCGGCGGCGGCGGCGGCGGTGGCGGCGGGAGCGCGGCGGCTGCGCGGGCGAGGGCGCATGCTGCAGGGCGCCGGGCGCTTTAACTTTATCAACACCAGGCCTCCCAATAATTAGGCTCAGGCCCGGGGAATTTGGGACCAATAAGAAGCGTTAATCGGCCCTGACGTCAGAGACGTGCCGGGGCGGTGGGGGGACCGAACGTTTTCCATATCGATTGCTAATTATACCTGACATCCACCCTCAATAAACAATATCAAAGCTGTCACAACAAGACAAGGAGGAGAAAGGAGGAGAGGCGAGGCGCGGCGAGGCGCGGGGAGGGGGCTCCCTTTGATAAGAACTCCAGCCCCGGGAGTAGGGGGGGCGCGGGGGGCCGCTCAGGCCAACAAGGAGGAAGGCGGGAGCGACGAGGGAGAGGATCGGGAGGCGAACTTAGAGGCCTGATTGATACCCAGTTAAATAGTCAGAAGCAACCAAAGTTACGCGCTCCTCGCCACCCACCTCCCCCTTCTCCAAATCACTAATAGATTTCCCTTTAAAACACTCGCTGGTGCGCCGTGGAAAGAGGGCCGCGTCTTCCTCCCCCCCCCCCCCCCCCCCCCCCGCCGTCCCCCTCCCCCTCCCCGTCTTCTTCTCCGTCTACACCAGAAACGTTTCGACTCCTCTGAACCTTTAAAGTGATGTTGCTCCAATTACAGGGAGACATTGAGCGGCAAATAGACTGATCCAATAATAGGAGATTCATCATCTTCTCTTTCCAGGCCTGTCACAATGAATTTAAAACTACAAGCCTTTTCATCTCCTCCCAGGGTTCTCTCGCACGGGGAAAGCGGGTGGGGGCTGGAAAGGCTAAAAAAAAGAGCTTGGTGGGGAGGAAAGAAGGGAAGCTCTCTCGCTCTCCCCATATATATATATATATATATGAACTGCTCCTGCTCTGCGTTTAAAACAGCGCCATCCGATCGTATCAATCAAAATAATAATTAACGCCATTCCCCTATTGATCCCTGGAAAAGCCCACATTAAATTATGAATGGGGCCAGAGGGTGTCTAATTAAAAAGCAGTCTATTTAGTAAAAGGGAGGGTATGTGCGTCCACGCGCGCGCTCGCGCGCAAGGATGGCTACGAAATATTTGGGGACGTCTGTACACGCGGAAAGTAGAGGAGGCGTCCGAGGGGCCCGTGCGAACTCCGCGTGGCTCCCGCCGTGGACAAACTCAGCTCGGGACAGCCAACGGCGGCCCGCGAGCACGCTTCGGGACCCCCGGGCCCGGGTTCCTCGGGAGCAAGCGCGCCCTTGGAGGCCTGGGCAGCCCTGGCCTGGGGGCTGTGGGGAGATGCTCACGGGTTCACCCCCGAGGCCACCTCTTCCCCCCGCTTAGCTTGCCTGCCTTTGGTTGGGGGGCGGGGAGGAGAGAAGAAGCCCCCTCCCCCAGTGGCAGTCCTCGAAAGGCTTACTGCGGGGCAAGACCAAAGGCGAGTGACTTCCAGACTGAGGACCCCTGACCCTGGCCTAACCTTAAGCGCAGCTTCTGAGCCGGGTGCTCCCTTCCCTAACTGAATTACATACCCGCCCCGAGGGTAACTTTGGCCCGCCTGGCGGATCACGGCCCGCCGCTGACCTCCCGGGATCGGGGGAGGGGGCGCGGAGGCTTCGCGCAAGGCCAGCCAGCACCCGTAGGATCCGCGCGAAGTCATTCGAGCCACTGCGCCTCTTCCCCCACCCCGGTCCGGGGAGGAGCTGCTTAACAGGGCCCCGCAGTCTTGATGGTGCGCTCCTCTACTCGGAAGTAAGCCCCACCGGGTCGGTGAAGACGGCACCAGGCGGCTCTGGAGAGACGCGGGCTGCGGAAGGGGAAGGGCAGTCGTGGCGCGTGGCGCACCTTTACTCGGGAGTAAAGGCCTCGGGGGCAGAAGGGTTGGCTCGCACATCAGCGGGCACGCATCTCCTGGCGACCCACGGCACCGCGCAGGTCTTGAGCAGCCAAAGGGGGGGGGGGTGCTCGCGGGTCGTTTCGGTGCGCGAGGGTTGCAGCTGGATCCTATTCCCGACGCGCCTCAACTTGCTCAAAGCAGCAGCTTAACCGGCCTGGAACGCGGCTACAGGGTCGCGCTGAACCTCGGCGCGATCGGGGTCGCTTTTTCCCCTCTCTCGCCCCACAACTTGGCTGTGGAAGTTTCTCGGAAGCGCGTGTGCCCTTTCGAACCGGGTTCTTTCCCTAAAGGGTGTGCCTAGACCCCGAAGAGACTGTCCCTTCTTATTAGCCAATTCCTACGTTAAGAACTCCCCCCTTTGAGGGAAAGTTTTTACGGTACGTGTGTGCGCGCCCTCAGAGTGAAAAGCTGAGGAAGAAAGTCAGAAAGGGCCAGACTGGAGAGAAAGCAAATCTCTCTTGGTAAAACAGAAATAACCGTCCAGGAGCTTTCTCCGGGCTTCCAAGGCATCAGAAAGAGAGAGCAGCTCTTTGGGAAACGTTTTTTTAAAGCAGGTTCTTCATCCGCCTTCCAAACTCCCTGGTACAGATTTGGGGAGGGGGCAAAAGCCGGCGTTTCTGGGTGCCAACCCTCAATTCGAAGTACAGCAGCAGGAGCAACGCTCCCAATCCGGATTGCCTCTCAGCCCACAGCCACCTTTAAAACAAAATCTAATTGGATACCTCCAACGACAACTTCCTGCCTTCCCTTCTCTCTCCCAAGCCGACTCGGCTCTAGCTGGCAGTTTAATTATTACCTTAAAAAAAGAAAAAGAAAAGAAAATTTTAAAATGGCATTTAGACATCCAGTCGCGCACGCCCCCAACTCGAGCCAGCAAGGAGAAAATGATGGGGTGGTATTAATTCCGGGGTGAGAGGCCAAGAGCTTCTCTTTTCAGCATAATTTAATTTCTTTCTCTATAAATACTGAATGTAAACTGTAGCCACTGAAGCAAGTTTTCGCCTGTAGCAATAAAATCCTCATTTTCTGTCGGATCTCCGGACAAGAGTGCCAAAGGAACGTGTTTTTGAATACAGAACGGTAATCAATCCAGCACAAGAATAAAAGGGGGGGGGGGAGATCTCGCCCCTCCTGTGCGCGCTCTCCCCCTCCCACCTCTTTATTATAATGAATTAATTCGACTTTATTTATCCCATTTTCTGGAGCTGACAGAATGTTAATTTGAGTCGAAATTTCTCTCGCCTCTCACTCGCTGACCCCTGGCCCCCAGACTAGCGTGTTGTAATAACCTGAATCTTTCAACAGAAGCCCTGATAATTGTTACCTTATTAGCATGCAAATTGTTTAATTAATATTATTATGGAGAAGCATACAATCCGTCCGTCACTTGACCTCGAGAGCAAGTCCACGTAGCAACCGGCTCCGCGCATTTTAGTGGGCGCATTTCAAAATCGACTTTGCTAGATTTCCTTCTTTTCCACCCTCCTTCTTTTTCTTATTTCATGTTTCCCGGATCCTTGTTGAGGTTCAAAAAAAAAGCCCCTCTGTTAAAGTGCTTGAGAGGAAGTCTTTTATGGGGAGCGCAAGCAGAAAGGGGGGCTTTGATCCAACCCTTCCTTGATATCTTTTCATATTCCGCTCCATCTTTCACTTGCACACAAATGAGGGAAATCGTTTCATTCTGTCTTCTCTTTTATTTTTTTTTACTTTTTTATTTCCAACATCAAAATTTTTAATAATTGCTTCCTTGGCAATTGCTGATGCTCCGAAGGCCACTGATTTCGAGGGCTGCTCCTCCGAGCCAGATTGGTAGAAAGCGGAGCACAGAAAGAGAGAGAGAGGGAGAGAGAGAGGAAGGGGTGGGGGGAGGAAGGAAGGGAGGGAGGGGGGAGGAAGAGAAAGAAAGCAGCCCTTGACATGCAGTCCTGGGAGACGTCGCATTTAAATCCCTTTTTCTACAGCCGAGTGACATTGTCAGATGCTAGCTTTAATTAACTTGATAATAAGACGTACAAGACTAGCATTCGGGACGCGGGCGCGCCGCCTCCTTGTTTCCAGCCTCCGCCCTTCCACGGCTCTTTTTATATAACAATCTCTGGGTTTTATCTTACACAGCGCTGATTCTTCTGCAGGCCGTTTCCCCCCCTCTTCATCATCGTCGTCTTCTTCTCGCCCCGTGTAAAGACTCGGAAAAGCCCCAAATTAAACTTTAAAAAAGGACGAGTTTTGCCCTCGCCGGTTTGGAGAGGCAGAGCGCGCGGGGTGCGCCTGGGGCGCGGAGCGCGGGCGCCAGCGAGTTCGGCGGCCAACATGGGAGAAGAGGAGCCCGAAGCTGCTGGAGACAACCGGACCGGAGAGATGGGACCCGTGTGGGATCCAGAGGCCGACAGGCCCCTTTCTGGAGGGGCTTCCAGGGGTGCCTGGCAACCCCTCGGCGCTCCGATTCGTGCGTGCGTCTCTGGGAAGGGCAAGGCTCTGGAGGCGAGGCTGCGTGGAAGGGGGCGGCGGCCCTCCGTTTTTCATCCAGATGTGCGTGTGGAGCAGCTTTCAAGCTGGTGCAGTCCAGATGTGTCGGGCTGCGGCTCCCACAATCCCCCAGCCATCTACGTTCAGGGCTGTGGCAGAGAAACCATGCCAGCAGGTCGGAGAAGGGGCCTGCAGGTCGCTCTCCTGTACTGAGGCCACGACCAGTTCTGCTCCGGTGTTTCCTGGGAACACGGTCCTGGCAGGCAGAAGCCCCTCCAGCCCAGGCAGCCCGTGACTTGTGGGCTTCTGGAGGTCTGCGGCCTGCTACTGAGGCTTGCTCTCACATCCGGCTTGTGTCGAGGGACTGACTCTCAGCCTGAACTTCCTCGCAGGGTTCTTGTGAGGAGGAAATCAAGAGGAGGACGATCACAGCCAACTTGAGCTCGTGTGACTGGAAAAGGGCAGGAGGAAAATACAGTAGGGAAAATGAGGCTGGCAACAGCAACCCTCTGCATGTGAATT